GGAGGAACTCTGTAAAAAATGGCTGTAATTCCTAAACGGTTAATGCAATATTTTTGTTAAACCCCTTGAATTACAGCTGAAAGTCTACGCTTCAGTCACATCTTGACTGCTTCATTTCAAATCCACTGTGGTGGTGTACAGAGGCAAAATTACCAAAACTGTGTCACTGTCCCAATATTTATGGACCTGACTGTATATACATATATATAAAAGACAGAGCATATATTGTCTTGCAGAGATCAATGTACTTAATGGGTCACTATCAGGACGGGTATTGAGCAATAATAAGAGTTGTGATATTAGTAGTGAGTGTGAAAATGAAAAAAGCGTTTGTGCATCTCTACACACAGAAGGCTGCTTCTCTGACTAAAACCCTCCTCATCGGGTCACTGACGTTTTGGTGGACGGCCTTCTCTAAATGTCACTGCCAGGTACGAACACAAATAAAAATGGATTTTAAAAAGTCCTGCTCACAGCTGTTGCTGAGACTAATTAAGAACTTGATTGATGTAGCTGAGGTTGAGGAACTATCACAGCCAGTATTAACAGACCATGCTGACAAGGGGCCTCATTTATCGAGCAGGACATGAACGGATTTATTCGTAAATCATTCGTACAAGCATTTTCACAAGAAATTTAGTATTAATGAAAATGCCTTAAGTTCGAGAAAAAAAAGTTCTTATCCTACATGTGCTCTTGAGTGTGTGTAAATTTATGCATAAGAAGACTAACTAATGTAAACCTTGACTTGATCAGGTTCAATTCATATAATTTTCATAGAATGTGCATGGATTAGTGCACTTTTATATCTCAAATATACTGACAGGTTTAAATTGCTTTTATCATTATCATTATTATTATTATTATTATTATTATTATTATTATTATTATTATTACATTTACAGCATTTAGCAGACACCGTTATCCAGAGTGACTTATAGAAGTGCTTTAGAGTCTCTATCAAAAACACATCCTCATGTTAGTTCACCAGGTCTGGGACTAAGAATATCATTGAGAACATTTTGTGAAAACCAATTGTTCTATATATATATATAAAGAAAGTGAACCAACACAAACCCATAAATTATGGCAAATAAAACTAATCATTCAATTATGACAAAAGAACTGTCGCAATAGAGGACTGGCCTTAATTAATCATATATTATTAAATATTTTTATTGGTATTGAAGTGAGTCAAAATAACTTCCATTAATGCCTTTCAGCCTTAACGCAAACAGTTACACACAACTTTACCAAAAGATTGATAAATGAGGCACAGTGTTGGCATTTCTATCTGTTTTTTTTTTTAATCCAGTGTCTTTCAGTGTTTCCGTTGACCATGCCATCTTCAGGTTTAAATCCAGATACAGATACAGATAAAGTGATCTGTGCAGATCACTAAAGAGATACAGATAGTGGCATTGCATAAGACCTCTAATATGGACAAAATTCTACTGAAATCAACATTGTGGTTGTGATGTCTTACAATAGATTAATGTAAGATATTAATAAACATAGGGAATGTTTAGGCAGTGACATTAATTAGGAAAATCTAAATTTACACCCACGCTGATTTGTGATGCACTGTCTTCCATACTGAAGGAACGAGTCTGCAGGTTA